TGAAAGTTTGCCATCCCGATTCCATGCGCTCCCGGGCGCTTCCAGGCAGGGGAAAGAGCCAGCTCTGAGCAGCCGCAGGACGAGGGAGCCCCCGTGCCCAGCTCTGCACCCCCGCACTTACTTCATGAACCAGTTGGGGTCCCCGTGGTAGTTCCCGTCGTTCTTGGTGACTGCCAGGCTCCCCAGGGCCATCAGCGTCCTCTGCACCGCTGCCATGTCCTTGGCTGCCCGGGGAGAGAGGGGCACGGTGAGGACGAGCACAGCAACCCTGGGACCCCAACCCCGACTGCCCCCTCCCGCACCTTCAAACAGGTCCACGGTCTGGAATATGTCTGTCTTGACCACACCGTAGTCCTCGGCCGCCTTCAGGAACTGGGCAATCTGCTCCATCTGCTTGAACACCATGGTGGGCGGCGCGTCGGGGATCTTGACGGGCTTGGAGCCATCGGGGTAGAGGCTGTTCACCAGCCTGCTGAGCACCTGCCACAGAGGGGAGCCTGGGTTTGCTGCAGTGCCCCCGGAGCTCCCCGTGTTGCCCACCCCCAGGGCCCCACTTACGATGCCGTTCTTCAGCCAGACCTGGAAGCCCAGGCGGCCCCGCTCGGGACGTCCCACGGCGGCCCCGCACTGCGCCACGATCCACTCCACCAGCCGGTCCTCCAGCTCATCATCGTACTTCTTCTCGATCTTGGACTGCACATCCCTGCTCATGCCATAGGCTGGCCCCTTGTTTGCCATGGCTGTGGTGCTGCGAGACCTGCTGGCCGACAGGGACAGTCAGGCTGTGGAGATGCTGTGTCCTATCCAGGGACCCCACAGACACCATTGTGTCATTTCCCTGCCACTCGCTGCAGTGGGGACAAGCCCTTCTGACTCTTCCCTCGCCAGGTAACAGCCCTTCATCTCCATCATCTCCTGTTTGGAGGAAAATTCACCACCGTGACCTCCAAAATCTGCCCAGACAGTCAGTTCGTGTCCTGGCAGAGGTGCCCGATCCCCAGCTCAGACTGTGCGTGGGAGCAGCCTCATCCCTGTCCCTTGCCAGCTCCTGGTTGGCACGGATGTCCCCGGTGTGAGCCATGCCAGGGCCCGGGTTGCAGGGTGACGTTCAGGCTGGCTGGCCGCAGTCCGGTTTGGTGGCCATGGCACAGCAGGGTGCCCGCGGGGTGGCCTTGGCACGGCAGCTCCGGGAGCCGGGGAGGAGCGCGGGTGAGACGGGAGCAGCGGGAGCCGTGCCCGTGCCCTTGTAAGGAGATGCTGCGGGCAGTGATGGCAGGTAGCCGGCTGCAGGCAGGGCCCGAGGGTGCCAGGGAAGATGCCAGGGAAGATGCCAGCAGGGAGAGACCCTGCGAGTGGCAGCCAAGCCTTTGGTGGAGCTGGCATCGCTGCTCCCTGCCCGGCTCCTTGCTTGGCATGGAGCCTCCGGGTGCCTCCGGGAGCCGTGCCGATGTCCCACATTCCCACCCGGCTCATCCTGACCGCTGGGCACCCTGGCTCCTGCGGGATGGGCTGAGACCTGGCACAGCAGGAGAGGACACCGAGCCCGCTCGCTGCCACCAATGCAGGGGTGCCCCACGAGCCCCGTGATTAACGTGGTGATACCCCACGAGCCCTAGGGGCAGCCTGTGCCCAGACCGGGAGCGCTGCTGGGCACATCCAGTGATGCTGCAGGCGCCACAGCCAGCCCCGCTCCGTGTCCCGGCCCGACCTGGCACGGAGGGGTCACACACGGCTCCCTCGGCCACCCGGCATCGCCACCAGCTGTCCCCCACACCGTGTCCGT